TATATATAAATATATCTATATACAATAACAGCTACCAATATATACATGCATACATAAAAATACAACAACACCCAACCAAATACATATATAAACGTACTAACATTTAGATACATAAATATACATTCAAATACTAACACACAGCAATATACATATAGCCTAACATACAAATATATAAACACATTCATACAAACAGAAATATACTTAAATATAAATATACATACACAATAAAATAGGACACATACAGATATATACATATATACACACAGATATATATATACACACATACATACACACATACACACACACACACACATACATATATATACAAATATATCCTGGCACAAAGCCGAAATTTGAGGGCACCCAGTGAGGAATGAACTCTTTACTCAGTCGCAATTGATCTAGTGAACCATGCTGCCAACCATTATACCGCCGTGATGTTATCATACACACACATATACATATTTATATATATACACACACACACACATACATATACCCACATACACACATACATATATATATATATATATATATACACACACATATATATATATATACATACATATATATATATTTACATATATACATATATATATACATACATATACACATATACACACATATACACACACATACACACATACATATATAGGCACACACATACACATATACATCAACAATTATTAACCTTTTCTAATCTAATCTACCATACCTTCCCACATTATATATATATATATACACACACACACATATATATACACACACACGCATACACACACACACGCACACATAAAAAAAACAAAAAAAATATATAAATACACCTATATTCAAACCTACACATTCCTCATTGCAAATACTCTAACCAACACATACATAAATATATACACATATACACCAACACTAATAACACTATGCAGGTAAACAATACACATTTATATCGTAAGTATGACCATCATGCAATAAAAATACTAATCTATTAAAAATACAGCGACATATCATTATCATTTAAAGTATATGACCCCTACACTAAGTTAAATTTATAACGGTGTTTACAATTAACAGTAAGTTCATATCTTTGATTTAAGAGATCAGCCTTGTTTTTAAATCTAATAATTTCAAATTTTTCATTAAGGTATAGGTAACATGGGGCATATAGGGAGTTACATGTCCGAGCTTTTGGATACAAAAATACCACTATTCAATATAAAAAAACCCTGTTAATTGCAACCATAATAAGAAAAGAAGATCTAGAAAGATTATTTGGTTCACTCCCCCTTTCAATATAATGGTTAAAACTAAATTAGGGTGTATATTTCTAAACCTCATCAAAAAACATTTCCCCAACCCTGAAACTAACGCACTTAGTAAAATATTTAATCCTAATACCCTTAAATTAAGCTATAGTTGTGCTGATAACCTGGAGATGATAATTAAAAAAACATAACAACATAGACTTTAACAAGTATAGGAATTCAAAAGGCTTGACTACTCAACAGGTTACTAACTGCAATACTAAATATAATAATACAAATAACAACTTATGTAATTGTAGGAATCTGAATAATTGTCCACTACAAACTAACTGTGGGATTACTTCTGTAGTCTATCTTGGTACTATTTCAACAATTGAAAATCCAAATATAAAGAAGTTTTTACATTGGTTCTACTATGAAAACATTCAAGGAACGCTGGCGGGGGCATATGCAATCCTTTAATCACAGTGAATATAGGTACATGACTTCATTATCCAAGTATTTTTGGAATCAAAAAGATAAGAACAAAACACCTACGGTTAAATGGAGTTTGGTTAAGAAAGCTCGGACATGTAACTCCCTATATACCCCATGTTACCTATGCCTTAATGAAAAATTTGAAATTATTAGATTTAAAACAAGGCTGATCTCTTAAATCAAAGATATGAACTTACAGTTAATTGTAAACACCGTTATAAATTTAACTTAGTGTAGGGGTCATATACTTTAAAATGATAATGATATGTCGCTGTATTTTTAATAGATTAGTATTTTTATTGCATGATGGTCATACTTACGATATAAATGTGTATTGTTTACCTGCATAGTGTTATTAGTGTTGGTGTATATGTGTATATATTTATGTATGTGTTGGTTAGAGTATTTGCAATGAGGAATGTGTAGGTTTGAATATAGGTGTATTTATATATTTTTTTGTTTTTTTATGTGTGCGTGTGTGTGTGTATGCGTGTGTGTGTATATATATGTGTGTGTGTGTATATATATATATATATTGTGGGAAGGTATGGTAGATTAGATTAGAAAAGGTTAATAATTGTTGATGTATATGTGTATGTGTGTGCCTATATATGTATGTGTGTATGTGTGTGTATATGTGTGTATATGTGTATATGTATGTATATATGTATGTATATATGTAAATATATATATATGTATGTATATATATATATGTGTGTGTGTGTATATATATATATATGTATGTGTGTATGTGGGTATATGTATGTGTGTGTATGTGTATATATATAAATATATGTATGTGTGTGTATGATAACATCACGGCGGTATAATGGTTGGTGCATGGTTCGCTAGATCAATTGCGACTGAGTAATGAGTTCATTCCTCACTGGTCCTCAAATTTCGGCTTTGTGCCAGGATATATTTGTATATATATATGTGTGTGTGTGTGTATGTGTGTTGTATGTGTATATATATCTGTGTGTATATATGTATATATCTGTATGTGTCCTATTTTATTGTGTATGTATATTTATATTTAAGTATATTTCTGTTTGTATGAATGTGTTTATATATTTGTATGTTAGGCTATATGTATATTATTTTTGTGTGTTAGTATTTGAATGTATATTTATGTATCTAAATGTTAGTACGTTTATATATGTATTTGGTTGGGTGTTGTTGTATTTTATGTATGCATGTATATATTGGTAGCTGTTATTGTATATAGATATATTTATATATAGGTTTATTTGTAGATATGTATGTATGTGTATATATATATTTATGTATGTTTGTGTATGTATATATGTGTGTGTTGGCACCTATTATGTATGAGTTTGTTTGTGTGTATGTGTGGGTATGGAAACTTTGGTATATAATGACTGTTTTATATATATAAGAAGAATGTGCATAAAAATCTGTGTATATATGTGTGTATTTAGGTTTATATGTATATGTGTGTGCATGTGTACTTGTTATCATAGATATGTATATGTGCGTATATGTTTATGTTTATATATTTATTTATATGTATTTCTGTATGTATATGTATGTATGAGTGTATATTTATGTGTGTTAATTTGTGTTTGCTGCCACGTATAAATATATATATATGTATCTGTGGGTTTCTTTATCCTGTTTTTCTTTGCATAATATATAATGAAACTATTATCAAATTATATGATTAATATATATTTTTATTGATATTTATGGTTTTGGAATTTTCGTTTTAATATATTAAATAATATTATTTTTAACCATTTTTATCTTTGTATATTTGCTCCCTTAAGTTATAATTTAATAAGTGGTTAGCATTTATTTAATGATACTTTAAGTCTGAAATATTTATTGGTTGTGGTATCTGATTGTCTATGTCATTGTCTGCGGATGTATGTATGTGTATCTATCGATGTCTATGTGTATGTAGAGTGTATTCACATTTAACTGTGTGTGTGTATAAGTGTTGGTTTCCACGTCTCCTTTTTTCATAAAGGGCTGTAGAGATGTTCATGTCTCTCCCCCACCTTTTTTTTTGTGTGTATGTGTATGTGTATGTGTGTGTGTGTGTGTATGTGTGTGTATATCTAATTATGTCTGGGTGCTTATGTATTATAATCTGATTGTGTTTTTGTTGTTTTGCGCGTGAGTTTAAGACCACATTCACACACTTTAAAATAAAAAAGGAAAAGAAAGGAAAAGAAAAATATATATACATGTATTGTCAAATGACCGGATATATTGTAGCGTCTTGTCGAACGTAATTTCAATGAAGAAATGAATTGAATAAACATATATATTTTATCTTTTCTCAATATTTTGTAGTTTTTAAACTTAATAGTGCTTAAATTTGGATTTTAAAATTGCCAGTTTTTAATTTTAATATTAAATTTTATCATATAATTTTATAATTATTGGTTAGTATAAATTATTTTAATATTACACGTATTTTAAAGATCTGAATAGCTATTATAACATGATTTCGTTGTCAAGCTTTTGAATCTTTCAATACTTGGTTTTTGATTGGTTGTTCTAGCTTTTGTAACAATGTTTCCCCCTAGTGTAGGATCGTTAATTAATCTGAAACTTTTAAAACCATTTATTTTATTTTCAACATCATCACTTGATAAGACACCGAGGGTGTTGAAACAAAATGGCTATTTTTGTAGTGACTTTATAACATACTTATGTTATAAATTTTTTTATAAAAAATAATTATATCTGCTCTACTTTGTATTGAGCACTCTTTTAAGAATAGTAATTGTTGGTTATTGGAATTCATTCCGTATATACCAATTATATACTTGTATATATATATATATATATATATATATATATATATATCATAAAATCATCAAAAAAGCATAATAAAGTGTGTTCAGCGGTTTATTTTGTGATTATTTTGATTTAAGTCGTTTTTCAAACTAAGTTATGATCTCTGGAAGCAATTAACAACGTAGTGAGGTGTATATCTGTGTATAGTCAATGCCAATGTAAATTTTAAGTGTTGATCTTCATGGCATTTCGGCCACTGTGAAATGACTGAGTTAAAAAAAATACCGTCTTCTTTCTCTGATTTTTCCTTCAGGTGGCTTCGTATTGGACTAGGGTAAGATTAGTAAATTTCCGAGCAGGAAGATTTGGCATTTAAGCCTTTTAACGCAGTGACAAAAATAAATTAGAATCGTTCAAGAGATTCATCGATTCTAACTTCTTCCCGTTTCTCCTTCTCTTAGGCCACTTTACATATTCATATTATTGCCTTCTTTCTCAAGTCTCAATTACGAAAAAGACGAAAAAAAAACATCCTAACAGAGAGAGAGAGAGAGAGAGAGAGAAATAAGAGAGAGAGAAGGCGAAAGAAACAAAGTGTGAAAGAGATAATGAGCGAGAAAAAGAGAGAAGAAAGAAAAAGCGAGAGAGATAAAGAGAGAGAGATAAAGAGAGAGAAAGAAAGAAAGAAAGAAAGAAAGAAAGAGAGAGGAAAAACAATAAAAAGAGAGAGAGAGAAAAAAAACAGGGAATAGAGCGAGAAAGAGAGAAAGAGAGAAAAAGAAAGCTAGAGAGAGAAAAAAAGAGAAATAGAGAGAGAGTGTAATAAAAGAAAGAGGCAGAGAGAGAAAAAGAGAGAGAAAAAAAGAAGTGAGAAAAAGAAACAATAAAAAAAGTGAGAGAAGAGGGAGAGAAAGAGTGAGACAAAAGAGAGAGAGAGAGAGAGAGGGGGTTGAGGGAAAAGAGAGGGAAACGAAACAGAGAGAAAGAGAGCGGCAGAAAAATGACCGAAGAGGTGAGGGAAAGAAAAAGACAGAGGGAAGAAGAAAGAAAAAGCGCGCGAGACAAAAAGCAATAAAAAGAGAGAAAGAGGAGAAAAGAGAGAAAGAGTGTATAAAAGAAGGAGGGAAAAAGAGAGAAAGAGAGAGAGAAAAAAGCAGGAAATAAAGAGAGAGAGAGAAAGCGAAACAGAGCGAACAATAGAGTGAGAAAAAAGTAAAAGTTGGAGAAAGAATGAAAGAGTGAGAGAGAAAAAATGAGAAAGAAAGAAAGAAAGAAAGAAAGAAGAGAGATTGATAAAAGAGAGACAGCAACGAATTCATTCCGCCATATTTCTGTCGGAACATGACGAAAGAGTGAAATCACGTCTTTGAATCTTAGACAGACGATAACATAAAGTAATTGCTATCGAATATCCACCATTGTGCTTCACGGACTATCAGTGTATTTCGAAGACGATTGACTGGCCGGAGATAAGATGGCGAGTAGCTTTTTTCTTCTTTTCTTTTCCCCCCACAAAGCAGAAGGTTATTTTTCTGACATGATTCGCTTAAGAGACTATTTTGTCTAGAAATGGCCAAGTCAAGACGAACAGGCAAAAAGAATTCTAAATAAGAATTGTGTTATACATAAGCATGTTTCACTATATATAGAGGGATATATGCTTCATATCACTGTATACACAGACGCATAGGTATATATAAATGTATATATTACTATTGTTCATCCAATGTAAAACCCGAGAGCCGCTCAAGGTAGAGCGTTGTGAAATGAGGCTGTTTGAAGGACGGGGAAAAGAAGTTCATATTATGAATATATGTAGAATAGATAGGATAGCGGCTCGGATTGAGGAATCGGAGAGCCGAGTTTGAATTCACGTCGAATCTATTACATAGCTAATATCTAATAGCCTTGGGAAATGTATGAATCCTTTTCTAAAAGCTATGGGCAAATATCAGGACAGGCCGGGTTCTATAGCCTTGGATGGTAACTGGTCTACCGCAGAACGAAATGACAACCTACCTGGGGAAAAAATCTGCCTCGTCAGTCATGTATCGAAAGATACATGATTGCCAAAGCCTGTATCACGCATAGCACATAACTGATTGAGGAATCAGAGAGCCAAGTTCGAATTCCAGTCAAATCCATTACATTCACTTACGTGCTAATAACCTTGGGAAAGGTATAAATCCTCTTCTTCTAAGCTATGGGTAAATAGCAAGACAGACCCGGTTCTATAGCCTTTGATGACATCTGGTCTAACACAGAAGGAAATGGCAACCTACTGCGGGAAAAACCTGCTTCGTCAGTCATGTATCGAAATATATATGATCGCCTAAGCGTGTATAGTTAAAAAAAATTTATTTTTTTAAACATCTAAAATATTACAGTTAGATTGACGTTAAGAATATTCGAACACAGTGGCGTTCCATATCACATGACGTCCGCATCTCGCAACGGACCCTACTTGTAAACAAACAGTTATTTCTGAAGAAAAACTGAGGTCAATCTGAAATATCAAATATATATAAATAAATAAATACTTTCATAAAAAAAACATTATTATTTTTTTTTAATTTCTCTCTCTCTCTCTCTCTCTCTATATATATATATATATATATATATATATATATATATATATATATATATATATATATATATATATCCCGGTGTGAATGCCAAGAAGTACAGGATGGCGTTTCCAAGTTTCAGGGTACGCTTTTTTTTTTTTTTTTTTTTTACAGTGTCCAACTGGTCATATCATATTGGGCAGATAAAAAATTCAAAAACGAACAACGCGCATGCGCAAAATTAAAAATATAAAATGGCGACAATTCACATTGCATAACTCCATATATATATTGCATAACTCCATATATATATTATACTTGACACCGAGTCTGTTGAAACAAAATGGCTATTTTGTAGTGATTTTATAACATACTTATGTAATAATTTTTTATAAATAATAATTATATATATATATATATATATATATATATATATATATATATGTCACACACACACACATAGGGTGCGATGGGTAAATTGTCGCCTTTTATATTTTCAGTTTCGAACAGCTGCGCTGTTTTGTTTTTGATTTTGTCGACTGCACAATATAATAGAGACAGTTTGGTACCGTCTGTAAGAAAAAGAGCACCATCAAACAATTCACCCCGCCGGAAATTTGGAAACGTTATGCTGTACTTCTTGGCATTCGCGCCAGAAACCCCAATACGAACATTTCAGAGTGTTTGGGTGTCAATCTAAGGACGATGAAGTGGATTCCGAAAGAGAAGGATGAGTCTAATGGTGATTATAAATGTACGGCTGATCGGAAATCTCATTGATAATTCTGATAAAAAATCATAGATTTGTTGGTGAGACCCCCAGACTCAACACGGAGGCCTACATCAAGTACCTTGAGGTGGTAAGGCTGCTCTGGATTAAGAGGGTGACTGCTTGAAAACCCGATATCTGGCAGCCGGACCTTGCACCATGCCACACAAGCAGGAGAACCCAGTCATGGCTGTCAGACAATTTTTGCAAGCACATGACCTCTTAAATCTGGGCCCCTAACTCCCCACGCTGCAAACCCCTTGATTATTATGTGTAGAGCGCAGTTGAGCGAGAGACCACCAAAACTCATTGAAACAGTAAAGAACTAGAGATAAAGATTATGGCAGCATTCCCGAACTTAAACAAGGAGACCATCCAGAAGAGTTGCAGGAGATTCCCAAGTCACCTGGAGGCCGTGGTTGAAGCCAATGGCGCTTTTATTAAATAAATTTACTCTTTAGTATTTCAAGATATTTTTTGTGTAATTTTGAAAAATATATCTGTTTAAATGAGATGTCATTTTTATTTTCATTTTGTGCAATTCAGACGACAATTTATCCATCGCTCTCTGTTTAGGTTTCTAAAAATCCGATTTTAATGACAGGTTCTAAAAAATTACCAGTATTAATTATAGGCTTAAAGAAAGAGTTCAGTATTAATTATAGGTTCTTAAAAATCCGTTAATACTTTTATATTTCTACCTATAAAACAATAATAACGAGTCAGTTATGTGCCATGCATGATACACACTCAGGCGATCATGTATCCTTCAATACATGACTGTCAAGACAGAATTTTTCCCGCAGCAGGTTGCCATTTCTTTCTGCAGTAAACCAGTTGCCATCCAAGGCTATAGAACAACGTCTGCTCTGCTATTTACCCATAGCTGACGCGGGGCGTGGAAGGATTCTTTAGTTATTCCTATGTATACTTTTTCTTCATTATCTGGTGATTTTACCGTGGCTTGGCATATTACATTGTTTTGTAGACAATAACCATTTAAGTGACATTCATTCTTTATACTACAGTTACGCGTGGGTTTAATTTGTTCGGGGGCGGGGGGTTTGTTGATAGTTTTTCTGTTGTGCTTTTTTATTATTTGTGTCATGTTCTCGGTACAAGTGTAGCTGATTTTTACAGTGTTTTTATTGAATATTTTGTGTAGAGTGCTTGATTCCGGGAGGTGTTTCTTTAAAAGTTTGAAGAATATTTTACCTACATTTGTTTTTACGTTTTTGCTGTACGGTTGGTTGAACCATATGATATTTCTCTTCCTGTTGTCATTTTTGTGCTCTGTGGTGAGCGTTGCCGGGAATCCACTATCTTTTAGGGCTGTTTCGTAGTCTTTCATAGCTTCGTTAAATATATTTTCATTGGAATAATTGTCGGAAAGCCTGCGGTTAATCGATTTTAGTATCTGTTTGATTGTTGAAGGCGGGTGATTGGAAGATGTATGTATGTACTGTGGTTTATCATTGGGTTTTCTCTATGGTTTATATGTACCTTTTCTTATGTTGAAGTTAACATCTAGAAAGTCTACTTCGTTTAGGTTAGTTTTTATATCTATGTCAAATCCGTTATTTTTGAAAATCTTTATTATTGGTTTTCTAGTTTTGTCTGTGTTTTGTTTGTTATAGTTTCTTAAGATTATGAGACCGTCATCCCTGTAGAGTTCTGCATCATATTTTCTATTATTTTGCTTAGTTCGTGTGGTAAATATATACCTAAGAATTAGCATGGTACGCACCGTCAAAGCTTCCCATTGTAGTGTCAAAGATCCCTTCTTTCTTTATCCATGCATCTTCATTGTGGAATAGTAGTGATTTAGGGGAGTGTTTAATGATATTGATTTCGTTTGTGTTTATTTTTATTTTTTAATGAACCCAAGCAAATAATAAACAAATTAGCAAACCACTCCCGTTAGAATAGACGAAATAGAACAAATTAAAATAGAAAATAAATACATAAAATAAAATAACTAATCTAAATAAATAAAGTAAACAATAAACAAATCAAGAAACGATCCCTGCCAAAATAACCGTTAGAATAGACTCCAACAATCAATCCTAAAATTGGACGAGAAAATAGCTATAACTTATACTATACAATGATGAAAAATTCTAAGTTACTCAAAAATGGCAAACCGAAGAGTGTAAATAAAAATATACAAAATAAAAAATAAATAAAAATAAGCAAACAAATAAAAAAAACAAGTAAAAATTAATCCAAATAAATAAATGATCAAATCAACAAATCGCTACCGCTAAAATAACCGGTAGAACTAATAAAACAAACATAAATAAGCAAAAACAAATAAAATAATCAATCCAAATAAAGAAAGAAAAAAATAATAATTAAATTAAAAACTGTCTCCCGCCAAAATAGCAAAACAGACTACGGCAATCAATCCAAAAATTGGACGAATAAACAGCTTTAGATTCCTAGTCCAAAACTAACTATTTAATAAGCAACCTAAACAAATCCCCACCATTTTTGATACGTTGATGAAACATAGAAAACCGAAAAGAACAAATAAATATATAGAATAAAAAATGAAAAACAAGACAAGTAAATTAATTTAATCCAAATAAATAAATGAATAAACAAACCAATCCCGCCCAAATAACCGCCAGAATGGGTTACGGACAATGCACCACTGACCCATATATATATATATATATATATATAGTCAAGAAAAATCCAACACTGGCGGCCTGACGATCGCGTCTAGCGTGAAACAGCCTATCGCCTCTGAGTGTTGACTTCTATGTTCACTTTTATATATATATATATTATTAAAATTATTAAAATATAATAATAAAGTTTTAAATCAATACAAAAACTTAATAATTGCCATTCCAAAGCAACAATCGCAGATAATACCAATAAGTGTAATTGTAGAAATTCAATCGTATGTCTATGAAAAAAAAGATGTCAAACAGTCTCTCTTGTTTACGTACGCACTATTTCTACTATAGATAAAAATATTTTATATCGGAAGTACCGAGAATTTTCTTAAAACTAGGTATTACCAACATGTATTATCTTTCTCCAATAACGCGTATAGAAATAGAACGACCTTTATTTTTGGAATTTAAAAGAAGTTCATAAAACTCCTACGGTAAAAAGGAAAATATTAAAAGAAACTAGAACTTGTAAATCTTTAAATAAATATGAAAAATGACAAAGAATAAAATTTGATGACAAAAATATCTATTGAAGCAAAGGAGTGAATTAACTGTAAATTGCCGATGCAGTTAATCTTTTACCTTAAAATATAGCCCGTTTTTTTTTTTTTTTTTTAAATACGTATAGCCATAATTTATGCGTATATAATGGTCCGCGGTGTACGGGTAATTACTTTATTGTGTTTATTCGACTTAAATATTTCTATGTATTGCCTTCCAGTTAGTATTATTAATAGCTTATATAGATGTTCCGCATTTTTAATTTTAACTACAGGCCTCTTTAAGAAGCTTCCTGAATATAAAATTTTTTTCTCTTAACTTCACATATGATTAACCCGCCCATTGCCTCCAAAGCCATTTAAAAAAAAACTGAATAAGTCATATTTGTCTACAATCACGAAGCATTTATCGCTGACATTTTTTCGACAATCGTCAATGATTGACTGTCTATGTTTCGGTTTATCGTGACATGAAAAAATAACTCACCCGTCTCCACCCTCTGAACTTACTTTTCTATTTAGAGTAGAGCTGAATTTAGTTGGTTAATCATAACATACCCACAAGTCTAATTTTAATTCTGACCTTATGTGATCCCCGCTTTAACTTTCGGAAAATTGGTAACACTTTGTTTTTAAAATTCCTTAAAAATCATTTAATCATCAGTTACTTACCAATTACGTATCGTCGAGGCAGTAAATTGAGTGATATATATATATATATAAAAAGTGTGGCTGGTCCTGCACGAAACATTCACCACTATAATCAAATCTCATGTGCCGGTGTCGGGCTGTCGGATTCTTGGGAACTGATTTGCTTGACCCTCATACGTCGAACTCGACGGGAGAGTGAACTATATATATATATATATATATATATATATATATATATATATATATATTATAATACAAAGAAAGAACAAAGATATTGATATTTTCATTTGTTTTAAAAAATTGCTCAATGTAAATTTACAGAGCATAAATATTATAACTTAACTGATTTAAAATATGGTTTCTTAGCCACACACACACACACACACACACACACACACACACATATATATATATATATATATATATATATATATAGTCATCCACATACAAGCCTGTTTCGCTATATCATTCATCAGTGTGGGTAGACATCCGGTTGCTTCAAGCCGGGATCGAAACCAGATTTGGCATCAGTCGGAGATTCCACACACACACACACACACACACACACACACATATATGCAAAAGTATTTAACACACTTTACTAATATTTAGTACAGTAGCCTCTGTTCTGCTTCACAGCCTCCAGTCGTTTCCCGTAGTCTTCAACTAGTTTCTTGTAGGTACTTGTTGGTATTTTGACCCATTCTTTTTCACAAATTTTCTTCAATTTGATTAAATTCGATGGATTTCTTTTATGAACTCGTAACTTCAATAGATTCCACAAATTTTCGATTGGATTTAAATCCGGTGACTGGCTTGGC